TTTTTTTTTTTTTTTTTTTTTTTTCTTCCCCCTAACACTGGATTTTCTCGCTTTGCGATGTCAAGCTGCGAGGAGGCTTTAGGATGCATCGCGCCTGGGTGAAAGCAGAGCTCTCCCACTTGTTTGGAATTATAGGGATTGGGACAGATGAAGCTGATTTTGTTTGTGGGTTCTGCTGAAGTAGAAGATTGAGATTTAGGCTGAAGGGTTTCAGCGCGATTCTGGGGCTGAGGCTTTGGCAGGCAGAGCTGTGAGGGTAGTGGTGGATTGTGCAGCCCCGTTGGAAAGTTTCATGATGCAAGTGACTTGCATTTTTTTTCCTCTCCTATTATAATAGACTGGTAAAATACTCAGTGTGATGATGGTGTATAATAATCACCTGTGATGTGATTACAGTTTATTTGAGAACCCTTTAAAATAAGACTGTGTTAAAGGCATGTATGCATTCCACTGGGCTAGAATTGTTGTAATTAATAGAAGCCCACAGGAGGGTATTTAGGCAGCTCCCGGTGAACTAGAATGCTGCATAAAACCTCAGAAACACCGTAATTTTCTTTTCAACTCCAAATTGAATGTATTGGATGCCCTCTTTTTCTTCCTTTTCCATTCTCTTTTAAACTCTGCTAGTAGGATTGGTAAGCGGGTGAAATGAAAGCTGAAAGGCCTCAGAGAGGAATTATTTACCTTGCGGTATCAGATCAATTTATTTGGCTATATCGACTGTGTTTTCCACACTGGTTTTGCCCTGGAAAGAAGATTTGCTGCATGAGCCTTTGCAATGCTGAACGTGTTGCCCAAAACCCATCATCTGTGACACTGCTCTGAAGCAGGGGGACCAGCGTGGTGCTGGTATATTCTGAAGGCTCCCACCCTGGGGGGGGGGCATGCTTATTCTTGCACAAAGGGGTAGTCTGTGGTGCAGTACAAGCCTCGCTCTTCCCCTGAAACACTAATAATTTAAAGTTTGCAGCTTAAAGAATTTATAAAACGGAGGGGTGGTAGCAATTCCTTAAAATGGCAGTTTTGAAATGGCTGGGCTTGTTGCAAAGCATCCCACCAGAAGCTGCTTTGGGGCTTGTTGCCCTGTTGAGGGTGATTGTGCTGCGATGCTGTGCCAGCTCAGCCAGGGAAAGGTGAGCACGGGATGACCCCCGTGGACACAGTCCCACTGCTCCACAAATATCCTGCTAGGATTCTGCATCCTGGGGTTTGATGTTCCTGCATCTCCAGCACCATGGGTTACTTGGGGTTTGCATTGTGAGAAACTGGGAAATGCTGTTCTGAGATTCTCTTTTTTTTTTTTTTTTTTTTTTTTATCATTCTATCTGGTTTGATTTCGTGGTGCCAACTTCCCAACAACTGAGCACATCAGTATGTCTGAAGTTATGGGATGGTACCTGCCTCTATCTGGTTTAAGATAGGTCACAGTAATTAAGGTGTGGAAGGGAAGGGGAAAAGCCTCATCCTTTTAGATGCAAATAGTGATTTGAGACCTCTTTGAGTCTCTTCTGCAGAAGTTTAAAAGGATATCTGGGCAAGCCCTCTAAAAAATAAAATTATTTTGTTATATTAGTCCCTTTCAGTGTGAATGCTAGAGTGATGTTGCTCTCTGACAAGCTGTGCTAAAGCTGAGATAAAGTTTAGCTTTGGAAGGCTGAAAAGATGCTCTGCTTATCCCTTCAAAATTCAAAGTTCGAAATACTCTATTCCTTCCTTGCCTTTTTACTTTTTTTTTTTTTTCTGGTCATCCACATGTTTAGGGATTTTTTTTTGCTTGGCCTGTCAGGGAATAGGGTTAGGAAGGGCAGCCGGGGTCTGCCTGCCTGAGCCGGCTGAGCTTGTGTGCTCTGATTCCTGCTCGGCATCCTTGGGTATGTCAAAAGGGATCCTGAGGAGGCTGTTTTAGTTGCTGAATGCTGACAAGTCCTGAGTGAGATTGGATCAGAAAACACAAATGGTTTGGGGTCTTTTTGTGTCAGAAGTCAGCTTAGAAACAGGGAGTGCAAACCCGCGTACTGTCTGGGAGGAAGGAGGAGTTGCCATCTCCCTAGCTCGAGTGTGTCCCTGCTTCAGCATTCCCTGAAAAAAGACCAAGCTGAAGCAAGGGCATAAACTGGGCTGCACTTCCATGCCTTGTGAGGAGAAACATCTTTGCAGCATGTCCTCCTGGAGCAGGTCTCAGGTGGTGCCGATGATTACTGACATCAATTCACCCAGCAGGTTTATGCCAGCTGCCGTTTCTCTAGCCCCCGTCTTAAATAATTTGTTGTGTGTCTCCTCCTGGCTATTTGAAAATTAATTATTTTTTAATTTTATTTTGGCATTTTGATTTACGTGCAGCTGGTGTATGGGGAATTCATACAGCCTTAAGTGATTAAAAAATAGGTGGGTTCTAGATCTTGGTCACTGGTAAAATCTTTGGGATCTTCTCTCGTTTTGTTTTGGGCTCCCTATCACCTTCTGGCCACGTGATAAATTCTTCAAAAGGCAGAGCAGGCTTCACAGCTATCATTAAAGATGTATTTGCATGTACGTTACAAAGGCTGACCTGCACAGGTCGGGGTGGATTGACTGAGGTGCGCAGTGGAAGAAACCTGCTGTTTCGCTGTCAGAGATGGCCAAGATACGGCATGCAAGTGTCTGCATGTGTTTTTGTCTGAACAGTGGAGTTTTGAACCGCAGTTTGGGGAGGTACTGACATAAGGCTTTTGATTGTTAAAAGTACATTTTTCCTTCATGCTTAGGTTTTTTATGTTTTATATGGCCTCAAGTGAAACTGTCCCTGCTCCCTTTCTGCCTGTCTGGGGGCATGACTAAAATCAGAGGATTTAAGGCTGCTCAGTGCTTTGTTGTTTAATCTTTGGAGTGGTTTAGAGATATTCAGACATTGTCTTTGTTAAGCAGGGTTATTTATCTAAACAAATACTTCCTCAGGCTGATATGCCAAGTACTGGGTTGGGTGTTTGTGCTGTGAAACCCCTGGTGCCAGGTGATGGTCTTCTGCAGGTATTTGGAAGTCCAAGGGACAAGAGCATCCGTGTGTGTGTTTGTATATTAATTCTGTTCCTTTTTTCATCTGGCAAATTTTTCATTTTAACAAAGTGGGAAGCAGTT